CTCTACCCTCCTTGGCTGCCCTCTAATCAGAGGAGGGTCGCCCTCCATGCTCACCCACCACCGCAGCAGTTCGGCAGGAGGGAAACTGGGATCTGGGAACTTACCTGCAGCACCAAGACCTATGAGAAACAGCGCTTCCCTGCCACCAATACCCCATGCCATCCCCGTGAACCCTTCCAAAGTGCCGTAACCACCTACTTCTTCCATCTGTCCCCGGGAAACTGTAAACGGGATTCCCCCCCACAATTGAATGGAAGCTCTGTACTGTACCGACTTCTGAATTTGCCCTGGGTTGAGTTTAGGGAATGTCTGGAAAGAAAAAAGGGGGAGGAAAAAAGGAGGGGGCAGCTCAAGCCTTGTCCAAGTTAGTCAGAAGGCTGTGCTAGGCAGGAAGGAGCTACAGGAGAGACAGCTGGGATGCAGACTGCCTTGGAAATCTCAGGTCTAGGAACCGTGTCCTTTCATCCCGGAGGTAAGAATGTGTGACTGTCGTGACTGTCGCACGTTTATTCTTTCGCTGTCTGTATGTCTCTCTTCCCCCTCGCCAAGGACCCTTCCCTCCCACTGGGGTCAGCTAGCATGCACCCCAGAGAAGGGCACAGAACGACGAAGGGCTCTATTTTCCAGGTCTCTTCACTTATAAATTGTGGGTGTCACTAAGACGAGATGTGCAAATCTTCCACCGCGGGCAGCAGCCACCGGACCCTCCGTCCCTCTGCCGGTGCGCAGTGGTCGCAGTATCTAGGGCAGCAGAGCAGTCCGAGAGCCCTAACCCGCCGGGATGCCTGGCCTGAGGGCTCAGGTGATGCTGGGGGGACTCGCGCGTCCCCAAAGGATTCCGCTGAAGGTTTTCACACCATCACCACCTCCCGCCGACTCCACGCGCACCGACACACACACACACACACACTCTGCCATTCTGGCCGAACTCCTCATTTAAACTCAAGTCCCTTTAACACTCAATTCAGCCGGTTTGAGACCAGCGGGAAAAGCAGCTGGATACGTGGATGAACTGCGAGGATGCCAACCGCCGACTCGGCCGAGCCTTGTTTACGTGCCTAAGTCGCCACCTTCAGGTCGAGCGGAAGACTGCGCGGGCTCCCGCAGTCCACACGAACCCGGCTACCACCGGCCGCGTAGCCTTGGCGACTGCCGGGGACCGCTTTAAAGGGAAGCAAAGGCAGGGCACCCCGCGAGTGGACGGGTCGGCAAGGGAAGTCCTACCCCCTCAAGATCCAGGCTGAGAGTGTGGGCTAAAACTGCATAATAGCAGAAACCAATAACCGGGAACCGAACGAAGGTGCACTCTCCCAGCAAAGTACAGCGCTTCGGACTAAACAGTCTGCAGCTCTAAGGCAGGCGCTGCTGCCCCGAAACTTCAAGCACTAACTCCCAGGGCACTGGCGTGGGGTGGAGGCAGCTTCCAAGAGGCTCGGCGTCTGCTCCGGTCCTGCCCAAGGACCGGGCTCCCTTTTGCAGCGACCTCAGGCTCCGCACTCCCCGGGCTCCTCTCCGGCTTGCTCCCCACTCTCGGGGCCGCAGACAAAGGGACTCAGGGGCGCGGCCAGACCCTAAGTCACAAGCGATGGGGGTGGGAGGTGAGCTTCCGGACAAGAACTGCGCTCGAGAGAGGGACGGAGAGTCAGCTCTGCCGCCTGCTGCAACGGCTGGACACTTAGCTCTATAGTCGCCCATTTCTCAGGAAACCCTCCTTTCTGATGGTCTAACAATGGATTCAGTAAAATAATAATAATTGTTAATTTTATCAGCGATTTTCAACTTTCCCACCCCCGCCTCTATTGAACCCCTCCCACACACCGTTCGTTCTGTACTCAGGCCTTGCATTGTAAGGACACCCGGCCTAAGAACCCCCTAGCTGAACCCTGAAATGATTTGTGTGTTCTTTATCATTCCTGGGCGCTGCCTCCAAGGCTTGGGGACGTCCACAAGGCCGCTCCAAGCCCATCCTCGTGAACTGGGCCCCAAGGGTGCCTGCTCAGTCACAGCCCTGCTGCTTGGGTGCATAGACATTGTTTAAATGCAGTGCTTTACAAAAGAAGAATTTTATCTCAAGAAAAGGGGCACTCAGAAACTATTTTGTGGAATCTGAAGCCATGAATCACCCCTTACTGACTCCAGCTGGGGTCTTTCAGTATTTCGGTCAGTATAATAATAATACTTAATGAAATAAATTAAAATTTAAAAAGAGAGCCACGGCAACCCAGTGCTAATAATGGACAACAGGAAATGTCTTTTCAAATCAGAGAAACAACAGGCCCCCAAGCCAGACACTGTTCCCCTGTTTCAGGCCACAGCATAGCAAATTAACATTGGGCTGCTCCTCCACTCGTGTGGAAAGCTGAGTGTTACTGAATACAGTCCTGAATTTTCCCGGGGAAGCCCAATTATAGAAACACCTGTGTTAAGTAATGTTATTCTAATCCACTGTGAAAACCTTAAGTATGTAATAGCCCTCAAATCATCTCGTTTCTTAGTTGCAATGGGGTGGGCCAATCTCATGTCAGAACATTAGACTTGTACAATGTCCCCAAGAGCCTTATCTCAGAGGGGCCTTGGTTTTACCATACCTAATCCTGGCAGCTCATCTTCTCTTAAATGGAAGGATATACACTTGAAGCCTAACGTAACTGACAGAAACTAAGCCTGGGTAGAAACCTCATTTAAAGAAAATCAAATCAAAGGCCAATGACTATAAAACCGGAACACATGGCACACGTACAGTCAGGCAATGACTCCATGATCTTTAAATCAAAATCCTAACATCATAGGAGACATTCTCATTATTCTGTATATATGCTTCACTTTACTATAAATAGAATATCAATGACCAAATATAATGAAATAAAACTAGTGTGGTAGAAGCCAGAAGATTATAAACCTCTACAAATTCCCTCCAAAAGTGCACATCAGACCTAATATTTTAAAATGCCAGACCCTTAATATTTTTGAAATGCTATAGGAAAGAAAATTATTTATTAAAGAAATGATTGTTTTATAGCTTAAAGCTGCCAAAACTAATGTTACTAAAAGGTCTAGATGAAAAGTAAAATGTTTATCAGTCATCCAAATGGTTGTCTTACAGTGATACATAGAACTATTTTTCCAACTAAAAGTGATCTAGATGATTACATAGGTAAGCATGTATATCACAAAAACCACAGAAAGAAAAAATATGTTAGAGTTATAGGAAAATTCAACCACAGAAATACACTTTATTCACTAAAATTCAAGGTATCCCACAGGATAGCATCCTTCTGAGATATCGTGTTACCTTTTCACCATGAAGTAATATTGTTAAAGCATTTGCATTCTTTCATATGTGCTTCTCCGTGTTTAAAGAAATACCTCTTCCCAAATCTGAGGTTTACAACTCACTAAGATGACTACCATTTCATTCATTACACATTTTAGCCACACCAGAAACATCTGATAAATCATATAGATCCATTCCCGTGCCTGCTAAAAGACAAGCAAGGAGCACAAAAATAATGCTGTAAAACTGCTCACTGATAAATAAGCAATAAAACAATAATTTACTAATGTTACTAGTCTTTAAAAGTTTGATGATTTACCTCAGAAATTTTATGCTTTATATATTATGTTAACATTGTTTTAAAAACCTGCATTTGATTAAATTATCTAATTTTAAGATTTGTTACTTAAAAATCTTTCTTCCAAATCCCAGGTTGCTATTTTTAAAATTTCTAAATAGAGGATTTCTTTTTGTGTGTTTTTAAATATCAAAATTATGTTAGAGACTTTTGCTGTTTTCCACATTTTTTATTCACATTTAAGTGCTTATCGAGTATCTAATATGTGCAAAGCAAATAAGTAAGTATATTAACTAGGGATCCATCTGTTACACCATTATGACTTAGTAAATGTTAATTAAAAGTCTCCTGCACATATACTGAAAAATTAATATTTTAAAAGTAGTTATTACAACAAATCCTTTTCATTTAGGATGCAATGTATTATTGCAAAAGCCTTCTTAATATATATCACTGCCAGAAATATTCCATTGACATTAATGGCTCGATTATTAGAACAGAAAAAGCCTGAAAAAGTAAAGCATATATTTCCTAAAAAATAAATATGGCAAA